CTTGCCAGGGAAGTGCTTATTGTACCGAGCCATCTCCCTGGCCACCCCTTTCTAATATATTTAGGACAGGGTCTACAGGATTTCACTACACAGATCAGACTTGTGCTGATCCTCCTGTCTTCAGCCTCCCAAGCGCTGGGATTGCAGGTGCGCACCACGTACAGTCTGCAGGCTGACTTCTAGTGGTGAGGCCGGAGCTGGATTTGTTTAGCTTGCAATGGTCTGTATGCCTCCTGCCAGCTTGAACTCAGATCCTTCTGTCTTGAGCTCGGTTCTGCGTCACCCTGACCCTGGGAGCCACTCAACAGAGCTGGCAGAGCCGGCCTGCAGCCCCTCTGGGTTCTTTTTCTTTTCTTTCTTTTTTTCTTTTTTTTTTCAGAACCGAGGATTGAACTCAGGCCCTTGCGCTTGCCAGACAAGTGCTTATTCAACTGAGCTATCTCCCCGGCCCCCCTCTGGGTTCTGAGCTCAGAGGCCCTTCTCCAAGAAGATGCTGGCTAAGCGCCCTCTCCAGGGGCACATCTGACCTTGAATACCTTGGCAGCCACTGCAGCCTGCTGTGTCCACTGCTCGAATCCACTGGTGTATTTCTCCACGGAGGTCTCTAGGGTCTGCAGTGGTCACTGCACTGCAAGTTCAAGCTGTCCCTCCCACACTGAGTCAGGACTCAGGGAGAAAGTGCCACCTGCCGTCTCCTTCCTCTTTGTTGAAGTCTCTCTATCTCTCCAGTCTCCCCGGGGGTTCAGTTCTCCCTTCAGATACTTTCCAGGTCCTGAGGACTCGTTTCCCTCCTTTTCGCCTTCCTCACACTGCTATATTCCAGGGTCTAGACACTAAATCTCAGAATGCCTTTCTCTGCCATTCGCCACTCCACCATCTTCCCAGAAGCCCCCCAACTGAGACTTGAATTGAGAGCTTCCCAGTGAGGTAAAATGAGGTGGCCCAAAGCGAAATTTTTAGGAAGAACATGGGACCAGCTTTGCTCTCTGTTCCTAACTCCCCTCCCCTGGAGTACACCAGTGAGAAATGTCCTCAGGTGGAGAGGTTTGCAGCACACTTTTTGATAATAACAGTTCACAGAAGCCCTAAAAATGACGCCCGACTCGAGCCACCCACCTGAGTCCTGCACGCCTGAGTAGCGGAAGCCGTTTTAGGCATCTTCTTGGGTGAATAGTTACAGAATTAAAATGCTCATTAGCCTCTTAGTTGTGATGATAATGAAAGTGAATATTCACACTTCTCGCCGTGAGTCTGGGATCGCACCTCCGGCATTGTTGCTGGTGTTTTGGTCACAATGACATTGATAAATCATAGAAATTGCTGCCTGTGGCGGCAAGTGACACGACATTATTCATAAAGAAACGGGCATAAACAGGATTGTCGCACAGGGAGAGGCAATCTCATTTACAGTTTCCTGCTGGACCTCTCATGCTTTTAGCAGCTCATCAAAATAACCATCAAAAGCACTGAGAGCCCAGGCAAATTCACACGCAGGACACTAAGGCTTAGAGCTCATCACGCGCCATGTCAGGAGGTGGGCGATTTGCTTCAGTCCAACGACTTGGCGAAGCTTTGAATCCCCCAGGGGCTGGCGAAGCTTGTGAGCAAAATATCTTTTTGCAATTCAGAGAGAGTCCTCACAAATTTGTCACTTCCAATTGTCGGTGTTCATTTCTCTTGCATTCTGTCCCTGGCCTCCGCGCCTCAGCACAAGTCACTGTTCCTCTACAAATCAAGATTCCTGGGTCAGAGCAAATGGTTGTTCCCTGGAACCAGAGAGAATTTTTCCAAAACAAAGATCTCATTTTCTGACAAGTACATTTTATTTAAAGGCAGGCAGTGTGAGAAAAGACACTTATGAGAAAAAAAGTATGAATTGGAATCTCAATTTTATTATCTAGGAATACATACAGGTTTCTTTAGGCTCAGTATTTTGTCCACTACAAATGGAAACAATCAAAAGAAAAAAAAAATAAGGTGGGAGTTAAGATCTGGCTAAGCGTATGAGTTGAAGGCTCTTCTCTTTGCTGGGACAAGGGGGTGATAAATGATGAAAGAATTCCGTCCCCAA